TGTAGAGGATCCTGGGATTGAAACCCCTGTTGTCTGGACTGGGCATAAAGGCCGTGTGTGCTCCAATAAACTTCAGTTCAGTTGTACTCTCAGAACTGTGTGTCGTCCAGTTACTGGGGGAGAGAAAGGGTTAATCACTGTCCCTAGCCTGCTCCAGGACGGAGAGGCTCCAGGACCCCAGTCAAGCCACTGCGACTGGGGCAGAAGTGCTGAGGTTTTTCCCCTGCTCCAGCTAGGAAGCGGTGCTTGGCGGAGGTATCCAGTCAGGGTACAGGGAGCTCCACCATAAGTTCCTTCTTACTTTCCACCGTTCCCAGTTTAGGAATAAAACCCATTGGTTTTCTATCATGCTTTTTGTTCTTGACATCATTTTTTGTTTTATTGGTATGCAAAGCACATATACAATATAGGCTAGAAGGATCATCAAATATAAGAGTGTTACCGGGAAACTGACGGAGGCCAAGCACAGAGAGATGGACACAGGTTTCTTCAGGAAGGAAGAGATCTTTATTCGATTCACCGACCGGGACTCAGAGGGACTTATGTCACCAAAAACAGCAAAGATCTGAGTACTGAATACATAGTGTACATTCCTTATATAGCACTGTAGCTTCTCCCATAATTAGCTACGCCCACACATACCCTTAACCTAATCAATGAATAGAGTCTAAACTCATCCATCCGGTCTAACCACGTGGCTCATCTGAAACAAAGGAGAGGAACGTGTAATTCCAGTTCCTGCATTCCTGCACATGCTCAGTACAGTGATGACAGTATCTTAGCTACGTGTAACTAACTAACTGATACTACAAACACATGTACCTACATATGCCTTGTGACAATCTTGGCCTGCTAAACTTGTATTTTACTGGAATTCCATCACATTCCCCCCTTTGATGCTTCTGATTTAAAAAACATTCCAGATGCATCACCAATCATAGTTTGCTTACACCTCAAGTTGCCATAAACCAGACTAGACTTTGCGATCCTCTAAAGATACGAACCCCTCAACATTCCTCTTCCTGCATGTATTCTCCTTGATCTAGAGCTTCATACCTGCAAACAGCCATTACCTGTGCTGCGGCCTTTCTTTCTGCTATACTTTCTATAATACTCTGTATAGACCTAATTACCAAAGGAATCAGACATGGCAGAAGGAGACACAACATCAAAATCAGTATGACTCCACCTACCAATGCCTTGATTCCTCCAAACTGCTCATACCAACTACCAAACCAACTACTCGGATTATACCCTTTCCATACCTGAGTAGGTACATGTGCTAGCTTAACCATATGGCTAGTAAGCTCAGCTATTGCTTGCCCTTCATCATCTATTTGAAGACAACAATTGCTTAGATTAAACTTCCCACATACACCTCCCTCTACTGCCAATAGGTAATCCAAAGCTAATCTATTCTGGTAGATGGCTGTCCTCATCCTAGTGTTATGCTTCGCTAGGAGATTGAGCGCTTGTGATGTTTCATTGGTAACTATCTCAACTACTGCGTGCAATCTTATAATACGATTAAGCATATATATTGGGGTTCTGTATCCATAAGTACCATCCTCTGCCCACGTAGCTGGCCCATGATAATCTATAATACGCTGGGGAGGCCACTCATCATCTTCCCAGGTACCTATCTCTAGGGGTGCCCTTTTCTTCCTATGATTTACATCATATACTTTAACTCCCAAAGTCTCTCCTGTTTCAATTGGCAACAAGAAGAAGGATGGTTTGAGTATACCCAATACACATGCCCCTTCCCAGTCCTGTGGTAACTCCGAATATACTTTTTTACCACAAATCCAGTACAAATTTGCTGGGGCTTTCCAACTAGATGCAGCAGATAGGTCAAACCATACATCCTTTAAATTGGTATAATTTGCAAACGGATTAGACGGTTCTAAGACATTTGAAGCTGACCACCAAATAGTATCCTTTGTATCGTCATTATAGGCTTTCTGCCCTAAACAAGTCAATTCCTACAGATGTATTAAACATTATTCCTTTCCTTGCTATACAAACATAACCTATAATGGAGGTCTTTAATCGCCACTCAGATTTACCTCTAACACTCACTTGATAATCAGATTGAGAAGATATTAGTTGTTCAACTGTCTCAGAACCAGAATACATTACCTCCTTTGCTTCCCAAGGCCACGGGTCTCCCATATTAGTACCTCCACACACATAGCTGTTGGTTACATTAAGACTACCAGCAATGCTCTCAGCTAGGTCTATGAATAAGTTTTTGGCATTATGGGGAACCTTATCTTCCACACTCATCTCCTCAAAAAGAATGGAAAACCTGATGAGTCTGGGGGGCCACTGTATCTGTCTCTATTCCTATGTATAATATCGTCCCAGGATCCAAACCTGTTCCATATATTTGGAACCCAAATATATTCCCAAACTTATCTAGAAATAGCTCTGGGTCCTTGATAAGTATATGGACTGGGTTACACTCCATAGACTTACAATATGGCTTGGTAGGCAATCTAGTGATAATCATATCCTTATCTACTGTCTGTCCCCAGGTTGCCCATCCCACACAGGACCAATACGGACAATAATTGTAGTCTTTATTTAGGCAGTTTGGATCTATATACTTATGCTAATTACTAGGACAAATACACTTATCATAAGACCCATACGTTCTTTCCCATTTAAGACCACCACATACATTCCATGGCTTCCTACTACCTGATATCGCCTTACATGCATCAAATAGCAATACACCTGGAGAATGTACGCTTTCTAGTACAGTCTTATTTATCAGGTTCCCCTGTGCGTTCTCATTCCGAATAGTCAACCAAATTGTACGGGGCTGATACTCAGGATTAAAACACCTAGGTTCTCCTGCTCCTATATGGCATACACTATAATCTGTACCTAGGTATCTACACTTTGATACATGTCCTGTGCACTCATATTGCGAATGCCAAATAAGGGTCTGGGAAATACGATTGCCTGTTTTCGTAGTCTTAATGCAAACCTCGCAGCCTGGTGTGTCGGTACCTCTACCTTCCTGAATAATTAAAAACACACATATATATATATCATCAAACACATTACTCCTGACATCTTCTTCCTAATTCTTCGACCGTGCGACGGCACCTCAGCTTCCAGGCGTGTGAGGGCTGCAGGGAATGGAGTCCTTCTGATCCTCACTGTTCTTCACAGAGGATTCCTCTGGCTTAAACGTTGGTAGGTGGTGAGGCTTTATTGTGGCCGTCAAAACACCTACTTGTAGATCTTTGTTGATGTTCCCTTGTAACAATACTCTTCGCAAAAACCACTTTTAATCTAACTGGGTCACTCGCTTCAACCGGATCTTGCAGGGATTCTCAGGATCTTGAGTAGCTTGCCAAGAATCTGCTGCTGGTTTAACCCTGGAGTGATGAATCCACGGAGTCACCTCTGCCAACTTTATAGCTGTTGGAGTAGACAAAAGAACAGCATAAGGACCCCTCCACTTTGGCCCCAACGGTACACTGTTCCACTCCTTTATCCAAACTTGGTCTCCTGGATGGTAAGAATGGACAGGTGGATAAATATTTACAGGTAACCTATCTTGTACCCATTTCTGTACCTCCTCCATAGTTTTACCCAACTCTACAACCTGCCGCCGGGTAATTCCTTCTCCCAACTGACTTAAGTCCCCCCTTAAGTTACTAAGTATGGGAGGTGGACGCCCATACATAATTTCAAAGGGTGATAGACCTAACTTTCTGGTAGGTGTACTATGAATGCGCAACAGAGCTATTGGCAAAAGAACATTCCACTTGAGTTGGGTTTCTTGACACATTTTTGCCAACTGGGTCTTAATGGTTCTGTTCATCCTTTCCACTTTCCCAGAACTCTGAGGCCTATATGCTGTATGAAGTTTCCACTTAATACCAAGCATATGAGTCAGTTGTTGTAGGCACTGATGGACAAAAGCTGGACCATTATCTGATCCTATAGAACACGGTAGTCCATATCGGGGTATTATTTCTCGCAACAGAAATCGCACAACTTCTCCTGCTTTCTCTGTACGAGTTGGACACGCCTCTACCCATCCTGAGTAGGTACACACAGCTACTAGTAGGTAACGATGTCCGCCGGATTTGGGCATTACCGTGTAGTCTATTTGGAGATCGGACATAGGAAGCCCTCCCATGTACTGGACTCCCGGTGGTTTCACTGGACCTTGCCTTGCGTTGTTCTTGGCACATGACACGCATCTTCGAACAATGGTTTGAATCAAGTTGGACAATCTTGGTATGTAGAAATGCTTCCTAAGAGATTCTTCCATACTATCTCTTCCAGAATGTGTCCCATTATGATAATTCTGGACAATTTCTACAGCTAGCGATGCTGGAATAACTATTCTTCCATCTTCTAACTGATACCAATTATTCTCCAAATATTTCCCAGCTTCAGTCTTTAACCACTCTACTTCTTGAGCTGTATAAACTGGAGTCCACTGGGACAGAGGGGTCGGTATAAGAGCTGCTACACACTCCACATATTCTTTTTGTCCGGATTCAGCGGCACGCTTAGCTGCACTATCTGCCATCCGATTTCCTTTCACCACATCACCATCACCTTTCAGATGTGCTCGACAATGTATGATACCAACTTCCTTCGGCTCCCATACAGCTTCCAATAGTTGTAATATCTCAGCTGCGTACTTGATTTCTTTTCCTTCTGAGGTCAGTAATCCTCTTTCTTTATACAAAGCTCCATGGGCATGAGTGGTTAAAAACGCGTACTTTGAGTCTGTGTAGATATTTACTTTCAACCCTTCAGCCAATTGCAAAGCCCGTGTAAGTGCGATTAATTCTGCCTTCTGTGCTGATGTTCCTTTTGACAATGGCCGCGCTTCTATCACCTTGTCTATAGTTGTCACTGCATATCCGGCATAGCGAATCCCTTCTTTCACGTAACTACTGCCGTCCGTGTAATACTGAACATCGGGGTTCTGGATGGGAAAATCATGAAGGTCCGGTCTACTTGAGAACACTTCATCCATTACCTCCAGGCAATCATGTCGACTCTCAGTAGGTTGCGGCAAGAGGGTAGCTGGGTTCAAGGTATTAACAGTCTCAAGATGCACTCTCGGGTTCTCGCATAACATGGCTTGATACTTAGTCATGCGGCTATTGCTAAACCAATAATTACCTTTATAGTCTAGCAACGTCTGTACTGCGTGCGGGACTCGCACATAGAGTTCCTGACCCAGAGTGAGCTTGTCAGCTTCTGCTACCAACAGGGCGGCGGCAGCTACGGCCCTTAGACAAGGAGGAAGACCACTGGCTACTGCATCCAGTTGTTTGGACATATACGCAACAGGTCGTTGCCATGATCCCAGATACTGTGTCAGTACTCCCACAGCCATCCTTCTTTGCTCGTGTACATATAAGTAGAATGGACGTGTATGATCAGGTAGACCTAATGCGGGGGCGCTCATCAATGCCTTCTTAACATCCTCAAATGCCTTCTGTTGTTCGATGGTCCACAGGAAGGAATCATGTTCCGTGCCTTTAATAGCGGCATAGAGGGGTTTCGCCAGTATCGCATAACTGGGAATCCATATCCTACAGAAGCCTGCTGCCCCTAAGAATTCTCGCACTTGTCTTCTATTCTTAGGTGTTGGTATTTGGCATACAGCCTCTTTTCTTTCAGGCCCCATTATCCTTTGACCTTCAGAGATATGGAATCCCAGATACTTGACAGTTGGCTGACACAACTGAGCTTTCTTCCTGGACACCTTGTATCCTGCCTTCCAAAGAATGTGCAGTAAATCATAAGTTGCTTTGGCATATCTCTGGCGCTATCAACAAATCATCCACGTATTGTTGTAGTACACATTCTCCTGGGATGGACTTGAAATCTAATAAGTCCTGACTTAATGCTGATCCAAATAGGGTAGGTGAATTTTTAAACCCTTGGGGCAATCTTGTCCAGGTCATCTGACGTTTCGAGCCCGTTACAGCATCTTCCCATTGGAATGCAAAGATACACTGGCTTTCTGTAGCAATTCGTAGGCAAAAGAAGGCATCTTTAAGGTCCAAGACTGTAAAATAAGTAGCCCCACCCGGAATCAAGGCAAGCAGGTTATAAGGATTGGGCACAACTGGATGTATACTTACTACCGCATCATTGACTGCTCTCAAATCCTGCACAGGACGATACTCATCTGACCCAGGCTTCTGAACAGGCAACAATGGAGTATTCCGGGGGGAAGTACAGAATTTTAGGATACCATACCTTATGAACTTATCCAAATAAGACTGTATGTTCTTCTTTGCCTTTTGAGGTATATGGTATTGTCGCAGGCTTACTGGATAAACCCCAAGCTTTAGTTCGATGCGTATAGGTGGGATATTGCAAGCAAGTCCTGGTGGGTTATTTTCTGCCCACACTCCTGGTATATTATACAAGGACTCATCACTCTTAGGGTTTTGACTTGTCATCACTGTATAAAGTCGCCACTCTTCTTCCTTTGGTACTGATAGTGTCATTATACCTGAGGGTCCATTAAACTTCAAGGATGTCGTTCTGTTAGGCAGAAATGTTATCTGCGCTTGTAACTTCGACAACAAATCCCGTCCTAGAAGTTAGACTGGACATTCAGGCATGTAAAGGAACTGATGTTTCACTACGTGGCCTCCCAGTGTACAGAGTCGACTTTTGAGAACCGGTTTAGCAGCACTCCTCCCAGTTGCTCCTATTACAGTGATAGTTCTTCCTGAAGGAGGAGCAACTAGGTCGGTTACCACAGAATGTTCAGCACCAGTGTCGATCATGAAAGAACTCCTTTTTCCCCCTATTGCTACATCGACCATAGGCTCCGCTCGACCAAGGGGGATGGAGCCCGGTCGGTATCAATAGTCCTCCATGACAGTGTCAGCCAAACCCACAAAGTCCCTATCTTCTCTTTCTCGCGGTCTCTGTGCTGCTGGGTAATACCTATCCCCTTGAACGCTTCCTCTACTATTCCCACCATTTCCTCCAGGGCCTCCTCTTCCTCTCACTCTACCTCTATAGTTATTACTATATCCTCCCCTTGTTCTATCTCTCTCATGTTGTTCCCTCAATGGACACTCACTCCTCCAATGCCCTTCTTCCCTACAATATGCGCATTGGTTCCTACTTAAAGGCTCCCTATTCCACTTATTCTCGCTTTTCTCGGTTTACCTGTACACTTCCTTTTCCCTTCTATCTACACCAGCGATAGCTACCGCTAACATATCTGCCTTCCTTCTCATCTTACACTCTTCTTCCTTCTTCGTCTCTGTCTCCCTATTCATATAAACCTTATTTGCTATTTCCATTAGTTGAGTTATAGACATCCCTACAAACCCTTCTAGCTTTTGCAATTTTCTTTTAATATCTCCGTAAGCCTGGCTGACAAAGGCAGAGTTAGCCATCCGGGAATTCTCAGGAGCCTCTGGACTAAAGGGGGTATACAATCGGTATGCCTCCAATAATCGGTCATAAAAGGCACTGGGCGACTCATCACATTTCTGCAATACCTCAGCCGTCTTTGACATATTGATCGCCTTTTTCCCTCCGGCTTTCATGCCTGTAATAATGGCTTCCCTATAAGCTTTTAGGTGAGCCATATCAGCACCATTAACATTCCAATTCGGATCTACGTTTGGGTAATGAGCTACCGGGTTGGCCTGATTCTGTGCACGGGCCACTTCTTCAAGCGCTTTAATTGCCGCCTGATTAATCCAAGTCCTTTCCTCGTTATTAAACAATGTCATAAGCAGTTGCTGGCAATCAGCCCAAGTGGGATTGTGCGTTTGGATTATGGAGGTAATCAAATCTGTCATGGCTTGAGGTTTGTCTGTGTAAGAGGAGTTATGGGTTTTCCAGTTGAACAAATCCGTAGTGGTAAAGGGAACATAAACAAATACGGGGTCGGCATGTTGTAACTGGCCTTCACCATTAATGTGTGTCGGGCCCGGTGTCAATCGGAGAGGCATTTGATAATGTCGGGGTTGGAGGGTACCGGTCAATTGTCGGGTTAGTATGGGGCTTCGTTGAGGAAGGTCAGTTATGGGTTCCGGTCGAGGGGTAGTAAGACGAGGGGAGGGGGACGCTTTTTCTTTACTGAAGGGGAGGTTGGTAAGCAGAATATTCCGGGCCGGGCTGGGAGGAGCCTGTCCAGGAACCAGAAATGACGTCAAATCCGGATAGGTGGAGTTAGTGGGGGTAGGTACCGGAAGGGAAGGGTTTAGAACAAGTGGGCTGGGCTCTGAGCTAGAGGATGGGGTAGGAGGAGACAATGGGGCAATTACTAGCCGCACCACCTCTTCCTCTTCCTGTAGAGGAGAAGTAAGGGGGCGGTAAAGGAATCTCTGACTCAGGGGGCGTGTCCAGAATGGGCGTGATCACGGCCTTGGTGGACAAACGAGTTCTGGCCAACAGGAGGCGGCATTGCTCCTCTTGGCACACCCTGATCCATTTTGGCAAGTCATCCATGGCCTGTTTCCAACAATCAATATATGGAAACTGGTCGTAAAGTTCCGGCCTACCAGATACAGCTATACACGCTGCACTAGATTAGGATCAAGACTACCACGTGGAGGCCATGCAACCACTAAGGCAGGCCATTCCCTGCTACATAAAGTAGTCAAACGTGTTGGAGACATCTTTACCCCAAAATCACATACATTATATCCCTTTTTAAAATTCTTTAACATGCAATCTAAGGGATCAACGATCTTTGAATCCAACGCACCCATACTTAACAATGGAGCGTCGTCTCCAATAGAAACAAAACAAAATACACTTCCAACAGTCACACCCGTTTCCCTTGGCAACAGCACCACGTGGCACAGTTACTAGGCCAAACGCACACAACAAATCATACAGGGAATTCCCGTACACACACAGCTGTTACACCACACACTAAATAACTATTACTGTACCTTTTTTGGCGAAATTATACAATTACCCATGCTATAATTCTCAGTATTTAAATTACCCGTCTATAACACACCCTAGTAACATCGTCTTTACAAACAGTAGTTATAGTACGGTTAGCATTGGTTAGAATACAATTTTAAAGTCACAGGTCAGTTAATAGTAGTTATGGTGTTAAACATACAACATAAACGACAGTTATTAGTGATTATTTACAGTATCAGTGATTATAATACATGGTTATGGTACCGTGCGCTATGATACAGTTACACACTATTCACACTCTCGCTAGACGGCAGAGCTCACGCTACCCAGCAAGATATACACTCTACTATAATAAATTTTAACACATTTACAGTTTCCCAACTAATCTATTGGACAGTACCTCGAGGGACTACCTAAAACTATTTACATCCGTTTTGGTTAGCCGTCGCTGCCCAAGCACCACATATAGCGAACTAGACGGCGGAATTTAAAACAATACCCTTTTAGTCTATCTACTCTATCAATAGTCTAGTGGGTTCCAAATTTACACGCCTTCCCACTTAGCCCAGATAGGTTGAGAACTAGCAATGATAATGTACACCAGAGTCTGCTTAGTCTCCCGGTCCCTCCGACCTAGCGAACGAAATGTACACCCTAGATACGCTAGTCTAGACAAGACACCGGTGTCCGGCTTGGGCTATATACATTCAACCAAGACCCAGCCTGACTCCATACCAAGATTAGACGGGCTGACTACAGGGCGTCTAATTATGAGCGGTGCGCCTTCGCTCCTTCCCTCCCTGGAGGGGACCAATTTCCATACACAATTCCAATTCAAACCCCTTATGGGCCTACCGCACAATCGGTATCCAATACCCCTAGTGGGTCCACCGTCTAAAACAGTAGTCGTCTTACCTCCTCGTTCCTGAACCTGAGTTCACACTCATCGACGGGGACACCCCAGTACTTACTACGTAGAGGCCGATGATCTCCTGGACAACAGACCAGTGGCACCGAGACGAAGGGAGGTCCACGCAGAAGTTCAGGGGTGCAGCTGTAGAGAACGTGGGCAAAGATAGACCATCTCACGCCTCTGCTTCCTAGCCACCGTTAACGACGAGCTTCCCGGCCAATGCACCAAAGATGTTACCGGGAAACTGACGGAAGCCAAGCACAGAGAGATGGACACAGGTTTCTTCAGGAAGGAAGAGATCTTTATTCGATTCACCGACCGGGACTCAGATGGACTTATGTCACCAAAAACAGCAAAGATCTGAGTATTGAATACATAGAGTACATTCCTTATATAGCACTGTAGCTTCTCCCATAATTAGCTACGCCCACACATACCCTTAACCTAATCAATGAATAGAGTCTAAACTCATCCATCCGGTCTAACCACGTGGCTCATCTGAAACAAAGGAGAGGAACGCGTAATTCCAGTTCCTGCATTCCTGCACATGCTCAGTACAGTGATGACAGTATCTTAGCTACGTGTAACTAACTAACTGATACTACAAACACATGTACCTACATATGCCTTGTGGCAAGCTTGGCCTGCTAAACTTGTATTTTACTGGAATTCCATCACAAGAGTAGGGACAGAGTTTAACAAATTCATGTTACCACTAATGTCATTCCTTGCAACTTTTAACTTGTAAGGCCAATTAACTATCTTTTTCTATATAAATATGAGAGGCTACTGTTCACCTGATTACACTACTTCCATATAACTAACATCATAAAGCATTCTCCTTTCAAAACACCAATGCAGATTCTCTCGGACTATTTCACTCTGCACATGCAATGCAAGACTCAGATTAATAAAATTCCTAAAATTCCATATCTACATTCATTGTCTCACTTAACACATTGCAAGTATGTGAACATGGTAATAATGGGGTTATTACCTATTTATAGCAAAAGCTGAAAAAGTGCATCATTTAACGATGGACTGTTATTACCACTTCTCATTACTTTAACGGGAAACTCCAGTGCCGGGAGAACAATCTGTTTTCCTGGCACTGCAGGTACCCTCTCCCTCCTACCTCCCATCCCAGGTAGCTGAAGGGGTGAAAACCCATTCAGGTCACTTACCGGAGACCCGCCCATGTCCCTCGGCGGTGGTTTCGGGTCGGCGTCGCTCCTCCCAGTAATTAGCCGGTGGGCGAGACTGATCCTGCCCGCCGAGGAAACCTAATGCACATGCGTGGCAATGCCGCGCACGCGCATTAGGTCTCCTCATAGGAAAGCACTGAAAAAGATTTTCAGTGCTTTCCTTTGGGGAATTGAGCGATGCTGGAGCTCCTCACTCAGTGTGAGGACGTCCAGTGACGCTCTAAAACAGGTTTTCTGTGCTCTGATGCAGGAAGTGCCCTCTAGTGGCTGTTTATTAGACAGCCACTAGAGGTGGCGTTAACCCTGCAAGGTAATTATTGCAGTTTATAAAAAACTGCAATATTTACAGTTGCAGGGTTAAGGGTAGTGGGAGTTGGCACCCAGACCATTCCAATGGGCAGAAGTGGTCTGGGTGCCTGGAGTGTCTCTTTAAAGGCTGCCTGGGACTCATATGGGTCTATGCAAGTTCTAGCACCATAAACTGCCTACGATCTGGGGCTGAATTCTTTGTTCTTGGAACAAGGAACCCCTCCTCCTCCTCTTGCATGACATCTCCCTGTACCCACTGACAAAGCCTCAGCAAGCTATTTGTATTCCTACAGTACCAGTTGTAAATATTCATGACCTGCAAACAAAGCCCCGCCCACACTTGTTAAATATTCATGAGCTCACTGGTGTTGCTGCGGGAGAGGGGCGTGTCTTCTATAAGTCATTGGCGGGGAAAGGAAACGAGAAAAAATAGCATCCTTTCTTATTTTCGGAGAGGGAAGCTTTGGACGGGTCCACTTCTCCAGCTACTGAAGGGTGGAATAAGTGGGCGGGGTTATGTTTGAATAGAAATCGGTTGGAATTCTCTTTTTTTTTTCCACAGGAGCTTCCCCTGTGCCACTACAGGGAGAGATTGGTTTAGGCCAGTAGGGGGCGTGGTGAAATTGAGTACTCAGTCTACGTCCGGCGGCCAGAGCTGTCGGATGTCAGGAGAGCAGCTTTCCTGGGAGCCCGCTATAGCGGAGAGATAGTGCGAAGGGGGAGCTTAGGAAACTCCGAGGATTACAGCGATGGAGGGGGGAGCAGAGAAAGAGCCAGCGGCCTTCCCCCAGCCATTACCTCCACTACCGCCACCACCACCGCCGCCGCCCCCCCTGCAGCCCTGCTCCAGCGCGGAGAATGAGGCGGAGAGTCGGCAGGGCTCGGAGGAGAGGAGCGGGGAGAGGGCCGCACTCAACCTGCTGGAGACCTGCGGGGTGTGCCGGCAGAACATCCAGAGCCGGAGCCCCCGCCTGCTGCCCTGCCTGCACTCCCTGTGTCTGCGCTGCCTGCCCCCCCCGGAGAGATACCTCAGCATGCCCGCCGGGCCCCCCCAGCACAGCGCCCCGGGGCCCCCGCCCAACCCCGGCACCGTGCAGGGTGAGTGCTCCGTCTGCTGCCCAGCGTGTGCCCACATAGCTCGGCTCCCAGAAACCATCTCCATCCCCCCCCTCCCTCTCCCTCCATCTCAAACTAGTCATCCTTAACCTGGCTAACCCAGTGTGGATAAAGATAACTCTGGAATAGCTCCCCCTCCTCCCATCCTCCAACTGCTCCCTGGTACCTTAACCCTCTCTGCCCGTACTGCAGATAGACCCTCATTTATTAATTTCTCTTTATGTCCCCCCACTTACCCCCCCCCCATGCTTTATCTTTAACCCATTTCTGCCCTCGAGTCTCCAACTGCCCAGAGTTACCCTGTGGTCCCTCTGCCCTCCAGACCCAGGTGCCCTTTCTGCCCTCCAATCTCCAAATGCTCAAACTATCCCCAGGCCCTGTGTGCCCTCTAGTATCTAGCTGTCCAGTTATTCTTTGGTTCTTCTTGTCCTCCAGACTCAGCCCAGGTGCGCTTAATGCCCTCTTGTCTCCAACTGCCCACAGTATTATTAGGCTCTTTGTGGCCTCCAGTCTCCCAAATGCCCATAGTTTTTTTTTTTGTTTGTTTGTTTTTTTGTTCCAATTTAAACTTTATGTCCCTTGCAAATTGTGCTAGAAGCACTTCCATTGTAATCTCTGTATTATCACTTGGTACTGCAATATCTAAAATAACATGAGTGATGGTTCACTGTCCAGTGTGTATATAGGGAAAAACTGAGCAGTACCTTCTCCTTCCATAGGGATGGACTGAACTTTATATTACTGATTGTTGGGTGCAAAAAAATAGCTTTGTTTTCTTAAATATATATATTGTATGTATTGGTCAATATATAGGGACAGTGTGGTCTGGTTGTGATTTTTTTTTTTTTTTGATTGATTGAACCATGAGGTATAGATGTGAGTGCACCTGGCTATCTATAGTGACTGCTTGGATGCATGCGCTTACTTTTAGAATATACGTTGTGAACATTATTACTGTGTGTATATGTGTGTGTGTATATGTATGTGTGTGTGTGTGTGTATATATATATATATATACATACACACACACACACACACACACACACACACACACACACACTATATTCAATAAGTATCTATCTTGTATCATGAAATGCATTATTCACCACCTATGAAACTTTGTGTATGCTAATAAGTTGCAGTAAATAAGATGAAGTTAAACGTTGCACTGTATACCCTGTAATGGAACAATAAGTTTTGTTCTTAAAATTGTCACGGAAGCTCACACGCCACAGCCCGCTGGAGAGGCATAACAGCTAGGCTGTGGGCCTGGTCACAGACTTTAAAATTATATATATATATATATATATATATATATATGAGACATGGGGGTACATTGTTAATGTTATGTAAAATGTTGAGCTAGATGAAAGCTATTGTGTTCATTGTATTATGTAAAAGTTATTGTGCCCTGTGTCTTCGTGTCCAGCAGGAAATTATCATGTCTTGGCCCAACTATGTCCCAGACACCAAGACATATGACAAATGAGTTAGTTTATACTGAAACCAGGCGTCCAGGCCACTTATGTGTGACTTCTCACACCTTACAGAGTAGCTCTGCTGGGGTTCCATCTTCAAAGAGGAATTTAGGTTGTAAGCTCTGACCTCCCATACAATCAAATTAACCCCTTTTAAAAGTGACAATACCACCTCTACCAGGCAGCCAATTCATATATGCACGAACATAACTTTTGTTTTACCAAACCAATCTGAGTGCTTTTTGGATATATTGTGTGCTCAGATCTTGTGGGGTTCGATACTGTTGTCATGTATTTTTGTGACATGTAAATATTGTATGTAAGCTTTCCAATATGAGCAATAATTGTATTCGCTTAATTGGAGCTTAATTATCTCTCAAACACAATGATTTGTGGGAAGGAAACCCCTGTGATTTTTGTATTGGAAACACCATGCTAGGGCCTAATAAAGTTCAGAACGCTGCTTTTCCCCAATACGACTGGTTGCGCCCATTATATTGGGAATACTTTCACTATATTCAGCACATCTGGAATTAGGACTAGTGGAGGATTGAAGGAATAACCGTAATAGACTCACGAACCCGTGACACTAATATTTTGAATTTAATCTTTATAAGTTTTGGTTTTAATGTCAGAAATGCAAATATATTTTGCATTGTTGGAAGAGTACCTGTAGTATGCTCAAAAATAGTACTTTCTTGCAGATATTTTAATCTCACCCTCAGTTACCAATGCAGTGGCTGTCAGCCTCTATGTATCCAAATTATATTGTGTACCCACAATGCTTAGCAGTGGCAGCAGCTGCCATTTTGAGCATATCTTTTGATAGGTCATTTTTAAAAAAGAGAAATTTCTTGCCAACTTTTTAAGGAATGTATTCATTTTATTTTTTTCATCTCCAGTTGACTGTGTAAGGGCGACAAGTAATTTTAAAGGATACTTAAAGCACTATAACCACAACAGGTTATATAGTGTTTGTGATGGGACACCTAATCGGTGTCTTGCTAACAGCCTTCTCTAGCCGCTGACGTATAGTGGGCATGACCCAGAAAATCTTATTTAGCCTGCAGGAACTCTGTCAGATCGGTGACTTCCACCTAATTCGGGCTAGCAATATCCGATCAGGGTGCTTTTCTGACACAATGGGCACTCCAGGAAGACCTTTCTGGGGATGTATGGCATGTGGGGTTCCAATATTTTATATCTATCTATATCTATCTCAAGTATGACCAGCACTCACGGATTTGGTAATAGTTAAAACGTTATAAGTTTAATCCATATATATTAAATGTAGACAGCTCAACGTTTCAGTCCTCTTCCGGGAATTTCATCGGGAACAATAATCATGTCTAACAAAAAACACATATAAATAAAGAACATAATTAAAAGAAATTGGCTTACCCGCCGGTATATCTAATTACCGAAGCCGCTCGTGTCCCACAGTGTCCTGTGCACATGCGTGCAGAAGCCCCGCCTTACGTTGGCGTAATTACGTGACGTCCGTCGCCATGGGAACCGGAAGCGAAACCGGCACTCCATGGCAACCAGGACGCATACTATAAAGTAAAATATAGTGCACAAATGTAAGAGAACCAAATAGATTATTTAAAGTGCTGCAAGGAATGTGCATAATAAAAATATAATCTAATGCCACCAAGTAGCCTACATATAAAGAATAACCGACTTTATCACTAGGTCCATGTCCACGGACCATATATAAAGAGACAGACTCATGCATACAAATAGGTGCTTAAACAGTGCTCCGAGGAGACTATATTTCCTAGTAAAGTGCTGTGCAATAGTAGTGTAAAGTAGTATAAGTGTTATTTCCTGGCTAATCATGGCAGCATATACACATGGGTTAGCTCCTCCCCTACAGCCGATAGGACAGGAAAACCACCAAGGTTTTAAAAGGAGGCTCCATCCCTAAGGTCCTCAGTCTTTTTCCTGTCCTACAGCCCTTAGGACGTGAGCAATTTGCTCCCTTTACTTATGGACATGTATGTTGTTTTATCTTCATTACTTTATTTGCTGTTTTACTGTAGTACATTATGCAGTTATGCTTTTATGCTGTGATGCATTTAAGCTTTGATATCTTTAACCCCTTAAGGACCAAACTTGTGGAATAAAAGGGAACCATGACATGTCACACATGTCAGGTGTCCTTAAGAGGTTAAACTAGTGCATTATACATCTGTACCTTATTTTTAAGATTGTGGTACATAACGCGGTTGTGCTTTTACTAGGAAGCATTTAAGCTGTTGCATTTAAAACTGTTTTCATTTAAAGTTGCATGTAATACCGCAAGTCATTGAAGACTGCAGTTTGTTTGAAAACTGTGATACATTTTGGAAACTGTGATACATTTTGGAAACTGTGATACATTTTATACCTTGAGGCCTTTAGACTGTGGTGCCTTTAAAATAGATTTTTTGCCCCTGGTTGCCTTTTAAACTTCCTTGAGGGCACTTTTGTTATCTATGTTGCTTCCCCTCGGTCCCGGTGATTTATTCCTGGTTCCCTGGGTGTTTAGGGGCCATGTTGGCTTCAGACAGAGTCCTCTCCCTGGTCTCTAACAGCAAACACACTCGGAATAGGCCCACATGTGTGCAGTTTGTGCCTTATTGGGCCTAATACAGAGGACTTGCATTGTGGGAATACAAGTTGTGGCAGCCATCTTGGATAAGGGCAATTGCCAGAAAGTGCCTAAAATAAAGGGAAAATTACAGTAAACATACACTTATTGGGTATGTATTTGCAGGGTCTCCAGACATGGATAAGTGCTGTCTTCAGCCTGTTTTAAAGCGGTTTCGCTGGTTTCTTATAGAATTTAACAGTGCACATTTTTTCTTAATACTTTACTACAGGTAATATTTAGTTGTTATTATTTGTCAGGTGTCTGATTCTTCACCAGGATCTGGATATGAGGAGAATACAGTGGAAGGAATCGGTTATGCACTGACTGCCTCCAGAAGGTTGTCGCTTCAGCATGACCTATCACTGTGCAGCCACATGACATGCGGGCAGGGCTTACAAAGTAAGTTCCAGAGGCCTTAGGGGTAAGAAAAGTGGCCAGGCTTTACCCTGTGGAGGAAGTTATTTCCAACCCCAGAACTACACCACCTAAGTTGCACACTTATGGATCATAGGTGGACGCAGACCTGTCCAAAATTTTACGCCTACCATTGCAGGAGGCCAGCCAGCTGTGATTTCTGCTGCTGTTTCTACAAACATGAGTTATGTGATTAAAGATCTAAAGGCTACTATGAAGAGAGATATTAAAAGCCAAGATTGAAGAGGCAGTCTGAAGTCTTCTGGTTACAACTGACTTCTTCACAGAAACTTCCCTAGATGTAACTAGGATAGTCTGTGGATCAAATGGCTTTATCTATAGCAGCTAAGAAAGCATTATGGTTCTGTTTCTGGGATGATGACTCATCCTCAAAGTCTGCCCTCTACACCATTCTATTTGAAGGGGTGGTGCTGTTTGGGGAAAACTTTGGATAATTCCATTGAAAAGGCGAATGAGGGCTGCAAAATATTGGTACCTTAGGATGGAAGTTCCAAGGATCCCAGCTCCTCATAGTCTGACCGGAGAACCTCCAGTGACCAGTATTTCTGAGTTACATGAAGCTACTGGCCCTGCGGGGAATACTCCAGAGGTAACTCATGGCAGTTGGTAAACCTGCCTTTCAAGGTTCTAATGTAGCTATAACGCAGTTGTTTTGCTCTTCAGCAATGAACATATCTCTTCCATTACTAGGAGCCTCATTTTTCTGATTACACATACCTGGGCTTGTCATACTCTGGAGGCTTGAGTGTTATCCATGGCCCAGATTGATATAGACTGGAGTTTTTTCTTAACGGGCACGGGCCTCCATACCAACAGGAGCATTAAGACCAATGAATCAAAAGGTAAAGCACTGAAGGAAGAAGCCTTCTTGACAAAGAGGTGATTTTTTTTTTAGGTCCCAGAACAAGAGCAGTTCCAGGGACAAGTTTCAACCTCTCTTCTGGTGCTAAGAGGAAAAGCACATGAAAGCCTACACTGGATCTAAGAGGGGCCAACAAGAGGCTGAATGTTAGTCTTCAGGATGGAGTCAATCAGATCCATATCTCAAGCAATCTGGAAGGATAATTGCCTTACCTCTATATATCTCAAGGATGCTTACTTTCAGTCCAATCTGCAGAGATCTTCGGCATTAGCTCAGAAGAGAACTTCCATGTTAGTGCCCTACCATTTGGCCTCAATGCGGCCCCAAGAATCTTTCTATGTGCTTATAGTGTTATTGAGAGTCCAGAACTCCACCTGGTTCCATTATCTGGAGGATCTACTTGTGATAGCCTTAGACCCTCAGAAGGCAGGCACATATAGGTATATAGTTCTTTCATAACTCCTAAAGTTTGGCTGCTTGATGAATATCAAGAAAAGCAGTTTCAGACCAGCTCAGTGATTGACATTCCTGAGTTGAAAATTCTAGGCTCTGCTTTTCCCTATCTCGGGAACAGTTCCACAGATTTTAAAGGTTTTCTCTCACAGTTTCTTCATTTCTGCTTGGTAACAGCAAGAAAATAGATGCAACTAC